CGCGACTCGGGAGATTAGGATAGTAGGCGACAGGATATTAGGATAGTAGTAGAGTAGGAGATTGCGCTGACAAGATTGGATACGTATCGATTGAAATCGCTGGAGAGTAGTAGATTGGGCGACTTCAAGCGAATAGATCAATACATATCTAATCTTGTCAGCGCACTATCCTAATCTACTACTATCCTACTATCGTAATATCGCAATCTACTACTCTCCGGCGATTTCAATCGATACGTATCTAATCTTGTCAGCGCAATCTCCTACTCTACTACTATCCTAATCTCCCGTCAATACATATGTTTTTCATTGTCGCGTACTATCCTAATCTCCGGAGTCGCGAACTATGAACGCGGCCTAAGGGAAGGAGAGTCTGTGCTACATTTAAGGTATAAAATGGTCTACCTCTTGTTAATCTGCGTCGTCGCACTGCTCATGCCACTATCAGTAACTGCCCTCAATCCACACCCAAAACTACTTCTTATATCTATGAATGGTTTCCGATATGACCTACTCAACTCTACATTGGTGAGTCAGGAATTTGTTACTGTAGAGAGAGAAGTGTTAGTGTAGAGAAGAATTTGATCCAATCCTAATAAAGAATCATGACAGACTGCATTTTTGAAGGTTCCGCAAATTTACAAATGGGCTTCTCAAGGAGCATGGTTCATGAATGGCATGAGACCACAATACGTTACTTTGACGGAAACGAATCACATGGCTATTGTAACAGGTACATTTCCTACCTTCTAATTTTGCCTCACATGCGATGCAAGTTAAAGCCACAAGACAGGATACGGTGGTCACAGAAAGCCTTTCCATCACTAATATGGCCTGGACTGCACTCAAAGGGTGACGCCACGCTCCTGAATCGAAATCGCGGCGATAAGGCCCCTGGCCTACTATTTACAGCGATAGCTACACTGCATCAGCTATGCCCGCCCACCTCGGGATGTGGTGCGTGGCTGGCATAACGTGTGAAATCAGCTAGGTTGATTGCCGTATCAACCGATGGAACGGCTGGCATATCCGAACCAGTTTAGCTCTGCACGCTACCGCGCACGTGACACGGTAGGCTTCGTTGAAACTGGATAGCCTGTGGAACGTTAGGTCCCACCGCTAAAGAATGCAAACTGAGTTGCATCGGGAAATGCGCTAGCCGACCTCCCCATAGCCTCTCCATTTTGCTGAAGCTCACCGCTTGATATGCGCGATAGAGTGCAGAGGTAAAGTGGTGCATGTGAACAACCATAATGCATTCTCTCAACGTTTCTCTTTCTCATATCGGTTTTTTACCTTGTAACGAACACGTGAGGAGAGGAAAACTATCAGTAGTATGGTCAAAGACTTATAGACTTACAGACTTAACACTACCACACATAAAAAGTACCAAAATATCACTCGACTTATTGTTAGCGAAACATTCTGAGAAAAAATGGTTTGTCTCTCTTCATGATTTCTTCTAACAAAAAGCGTATTTCTTATTTTCCAGACATGGACTGTCACGAGCGTGTTGTAAAACACGTGAAACTGCTCCATTGAGACACTAACTTTTGAAGAAGTTTTGATTTCCGTACCCGGCTGGATAAAGTTGTATTATTTTCTCACGATGGCGGTCGGATAGTAATCAGGGTTCCGAACAATATCATATCCTGTAGGGTCCTCGAGAAATTGTTCGTTACAAAGTGACCCCGACCAAATTCCAGCGTGAGCTGACACTTCGCAATTCCTGCGCCTCTTTTGCTAGGATTTTCCTTTACGGAAGTCTGGCAGCGGTTTCGCTTTCCTAAGCAACCTAAAGGGGTAATAATTTCAAAATTTGATTGGGTAAAAGCAAAATGCAGCGGAGAAACATGTGGTGGAACTATGATTTTGCGCCATAGGCAAAGCGGGTATTTTCAGAAAAAAAGACAATAAAAGGTGTTGCTTTCTCGGACTCTAAATCTAGTACTCAGAGCTGCGTTTATACACGTGGGAGGGGGTGGGGGCAATAAAAAAGACATTTTGTCTCCAGACTCAAATGGATTTAATCACACTTTGCTCAGCTCAAAGCGTGTGCTCCCAACTTAGAATTGAAGAGCGCATTTCATTTCATAAGAAAATCTTCATAGTGGCCATCTACGTGGACGGCATCAGAAAAATTTGCCCCGGAAACATGGTGCTCTGGTCGAGCTCAATGGGGTTCTCGACTGATCGTGTACCGTTACGACGGGTTCCGAAGGGCGGGTTCCGAGGGGTTTGCATAGTTAGAGCTAATGTCCCTAGGAAACTATCCCACGTTGAATCGATCCAAGAAATTATGTAAGAGCTTCAGGCTGAAGCAGTTACTGTAGGCCTCCCTGAGCTCGACGACGGTGACAGATGACGTCATATTCTGAAGACGGTGAGGTGCACTAGGACAGAAAAGCCGCGTTCATAGTTCGCGATTAGGATAGTACGCGACAATGAAAAACATATGTATTGACGGCGAGATTAGGATAGTAGTAGATTAGTAGTAGTAGAGTAGGAGATTGCGCTGACAAGATTAGATACGTATCGATTGAAATCGCCGGAGAGTAGTAGATTGCGATATTACGATAGTAGGATAGTAGTAGAGTAGGAGATTAGGATAGTAGTAGATTAGGATAGTGCGCTGACAAGATTAGATATGTATTGATCTATTCGCTTGAAGTCGCCCAATCTACTACTCTCCAGCGATTTCAATCGATACGTATCCAATCTTGTCAGCGCAATCTCCTACTCTACTACTATCCTAATCTACTACTATCCTAATCTCCCCGTCAACACATATTTAATAGCTTCAGTTACTGTAGGCCTCCTTGAGCTCAACGACGGTGACAGATGACGTCATATTCTGAAGACGGTGAGGGCAGTGAAGGAGGGCCTGCGTGTACTTATAGAGGGACATTTAGGGAATATTTTGCTGAGGAACTTCCGTCAACGACGGCAATCTCTGCGAAGAAAAAAGTGCGACCTGGGCAAAATGTCTTTTTTGGCCCCCTGTATATCTCTTAAGTCCTCCTCAAAGCCTCTTTCGAAAACATCTGCAGATGCAAGTTCTCGGGGAATTTGTAGGTGGAATCATGATTGTACGTCGCAGTGCAGTTGCCGCCTTTCACCATATCAAGATCAAGATGAAACAGCTGAACAAATGGGTTGAGTGCAAACCCCGCCCACACGATCCGCACGCCACTGTAGTGCGAGAGCCCCAAGGAGTTTTTTGCTCTTTTTCTCAACTTTTGACTGAGTAACTATACCGAGAAATAACGAAATACTTCGTATTTTAGGTCTTCACGCAGAAAGTCATGGTATTGTCGCCGATATGTTCTATGAACGGGATTTGTCGAACACATTTCATTTGTAAGGCATAAAGTTGCTCGAATTGACTCAAAGTTACATATCGAGCAGTCTGCTGTCCTTCCCAAGGGCAGAGTATAAACCCACTACCCCCGCACCTGGGTTTAAAAAGGTTAAGGTGCTGCTTCGCCCACTGTGATAAACCCCGGCCACAAATCAAATGCAATTCCGCTTCTCCGCTACTAAACGTTTTTTCATCACTGGCATTACCTTTTACATCTCCACTCTCACCTACAAACGCAATAATACGTCAGTTCGATCCCGAACTGCACCTTTAATTTAATTGTACCACAAAAAAAGCAGGATAAAGCATTTGCCGTTGATCAATCCCTTTTTGGGATGCGGCACGCATTCTACTTCCATTTGTACATTCGTAGTGGCGTTTGAATGCGATGTGGCCTATACAATGACTTGCGGGGCCAGCCGATGTACAAGTCAGTGTTTTTATCCTCCCAGACAAGTCTGGTACCAATTAACCGACCCCGGAGGGATGGAAGGCTTGGTTGGCCCGGGCGACTCACGACCCAGGATTTGATCCCCGGACCGCTCGCGTGGTAAGCGTGCCACTTGCCACTACACCACTTCCGCCCATAATACCACATAAAAACAGTTTCAAATGTAGCATGTGTTCATAGGCAATACATAGCTCATCGTCAGAAAGAAGTTCATTACAAAGCAGTCCAGGACGAAAACAAGAGAAAAATGTTTTCTTGGCGGGAGAATTGTTTTCAAGAAGAAAACAATTCTCCCGTCTTCCCGAGGAGAGGGCAGCATACGGCCAGTAAAGTAATGTGTATTGTAGGTATGATTACTGGAATTTTTCTGGAAACGCCGGGAGCCATCGAATTTTCCAGGAAGGTAATACTGGTACCATGGAGAACCTATATGGGCAACAAACGAAAAGTAGGTTCAACTTGATGAAAAGAGCGAACAATTTCAATTCTTCGATCCGCTTTCGAGGGGCTCATCTGCTCTCGTTCACTTTTACTGCCAATTCATTGCCTATTCAAGGTATTATCAGTGCACCTAAGCCCGCGCGTTGGACGGGTTTGATCTGATCACTGTCTGTGTCCAGAGTTTGCGATTCACGATTGAACGGCATGGGTTTGAGTGCCTGTTGGAGTGGTGGGAGCACCAGTGGGACATTAATGGCATTGCTTACAATCTTGAACCGCACAACTGATAAAACTAGTCACCTATACTCCCTAATGATTCCACTCACTCTCTTGATAAGAAGTAGCAAAGCATATTTGCGCTAGAAACACGTCAAATATCACGATGAAGATCTCACGCAGCCCTAGGACGTGCAGTATTTCTCGAATGACTGATAGCCTCAAATCTGGTTCGGAATGCCCTACACACACCTCGAATCAAAATCAGCGATCACAATGGGCAATTTTCGGGGTCCGTACAAATCCCATCCTGAAGGGGATCACTAAACGACCCTTATGATTATCGCTCCCCGGTGATCTTACTTGCAGTCTACTTCTGTCTCACGAAGTCTCAGAATGGGTAGGGAAAGGAATTTTGTAAAAAACATTAGGCTCTAATAATAAAAGCCTTCAATAAGTACCAAGAACAGAGCGTTGATCCAACCGCCCACGGGGCGACCCCTGGGAACTGAATTGAAAATTGCTGATGGAATGGCTGAATCTGCCAAAACTCCGGCAATACCCATGAAGGTCATTACCATTTCCATGCAGTTATACACCTCTACACAATCATCGCTTTCAGAGCAGATCCCACCAGACACTCGCTTGCCTTCAATGGCCAGCTTGTGACGCAAACTTCCCTAAGTTGAACAAGCCGACATACTACACGTTCGTTTTCTGAGTTGTTGCTTTTCCGGAAGAAAGTAGTAGATTGAGCCAGCTAAACAAGTTTCCAGGAGCTGGACGGGTTATCAAAGGTATGATGACTGGATGAATGATATAGACAAAATCATAGAACTTTTTCACAAGAAAGGACAAACCCATGAATTTCATTGCTTGGTGAGAGTTCCTTACTACAAACGTCCTAGTTCAACCCTAGCATTCAGTCATTTTGCTGGCTGCTCTTATTAAATTTTATAACATTAAATTCAACTCCACAAAGTATCACGTCATTTTTGAAGGTTTATTGATGAACCCGACGCTACACTTCTTTCGCACGGCTTTTATGACGGTGCATATGTGAACACACTGTCCCGACTTGATGAAGTTTTTGGACATTTGATCAGTGAAATGGAAAAGCGTGGCCTTACGAAGGAAGTCAACATCATATTGACATCTGATCATGGAAATGAAGAGGTCTGGCACTTTCTCAGAAAAACAGTCATCGGATTTCTACACCCGAAGTTTCACCTACTGTCTATAAAAATTGCGTTACCGTCCTGAAAGCAAACCTCACGCTAGAGTATAGGAGGGAAGGGATGAAGGCTGGACGGGAGGGGAGGCGCGCAGTGTGTATAGCACAGCGGCTGAAAGGCATCGCGTCTGGCATTTTGGGGTGAAAATCGCTTGAGGAAAGACAACGGCTCGTCGAGGATTCTTTCACGCTCTCCCACGCGGATGCTCACTCTCGCCAGCTGCGAGCCGTCTGTGCTCTCCGCGCATTCATTCACTCTCGACACTACTCTCGCACGGTAGAGAGCCATGGTCGAGGAAATTCCTCGACCGTTTATTCACCCTGGTTGGCATGCCATTATCTCCAAGAAAACCATC